CCAACAAGGGTGATGGAAGCATTGTTTTCGTAGGTTTACGTAAAAAATCCATTGTGAGTAAAAAAAATCTGATTTTACACACTGATCCCAACAAATAAAACAAGACTTTTGAAAAAAGTTTATCTCGGCCGCTGGCCATGTAGTTTTGTGTTCTTGGAGGATGTCCACATAGATTTGTGTAACTGCTAGAGAGGAAAGAATGTATTACCTAGTATGTTCATACCTGTAACACCAAACAGGGTAATAAGTTGGCTTCCATTATCATTTGCTTCAATGGAATTAGTGAAAAATGATCATTGCTAAATACAATATAACGTTAAGTATATGTAACCACTACAATAATTTTCTATTTTATTTCTATTTTTTTATTTTTATTTATTTTTTATTTATTTTCATTTTATTTTTTATTCTGTTTTATTTTATTTCATTTAATTTTATTCTATTTTATCCGTTCTATGCATTATCAAACTTCTCCTCTACTGCTAGAGCTACTAAAACTTCACACCGAATATATTAAACATTTTAATTCGCCCCCTCTAGCGGTTTGGGCCAAATTGCAGCTTTCCAAAAAAATCCAAGATGGCGGCGGCAGATCGGGGTGTTAACCGCCGAAATGAGTCCTTAGCATGGTTCACAGAATTTATCATAGCGCAGTTAGAATCGGGAAAGCCAGGCTAAAATATATGTCGTTGTAATCCTTACAAGTCAGGGAACCTCGGGAAGTTCACTTGAAGATCACACTTGTACACAAAAACGAGCTTTGTAGCGTCAAAGTTGACTCATTTCCATTTTTCGGCGAGGTTTCCGCCATTGGATTTCCGTCAAAATACGCACCCTATGGGGGTTTCGCGGTATCTGGTTGCATCTGTTTCCGGGTCACGTCCAGCGACGTCATTACCCGGCGAAGGGCCGCTGCCAAGCTAAGGGCAGTGTACTGCGCAATACTCACCCTTTCGGGAAGAATGCTCAAGAATTATATATATGGCTCTTTTGCTTCAAGTTCAACTGAACGAGCCACTGACATGTATGCACATGTGTAAAAACGAGTACGCTAGCAATCATTCGATAGCCGATACATTTTGCCTGTATCGTTGCAAACACGTCGACGACAACACGACTTTCACCTGAATCACATTGCGCCCCGAAAATTACCTAATTTTTACCAAAATTGTTGTTAGACAGCATGAAGACAGTCCGACTTTAAAAATCTCAATCGTTGCAAAATCGTCTCCCGTGTATATAATTGCAATCATACTGGTAAAAGTCAGGCTTCTTCGGAGTGCATAGCATATTGTCGCCCAGCCCATATAGGCTGATAGGACACCATGCATGAGTACTGGGATACAGAAATCACATGATTTAAACATAAGTATAAAATAATCATCAACTAGAAAGGTGACCTTTGCAAAGCCGTTACGGTTTCACAACTTCTTCCAAAAATTGGCGAGTACTCTTTCTCGCAAAGGCGATTATGGTCTGCCCTCCGTGTGTATCATATAAATGATACACGCAAAAGTCGGGTCGTCTTCGAAGTACCTTATGTATCATTTCAATGATACGTGTAACTACCTAGGTTTTCCAAAGTCGGACTGACTTCCAATATAGTAACCCCACTATCATATCTACGCA